ATATATATGTATTGATATGGGAATATACATGTATGAATATAGGTGGGTGTGTTCATATATATGTATGGATATAGGTGGGTGTGTTCATATACATGTAATATCCATATGCATGTATTGATATACATGTATGGATATAGATGGTCATGTTCATATACATGTGTGGATATAAGTGGATTTGTTCATGCACTTGTATGGATATAGGTGGGTGTGTTCATGTACATGTATGGATATAGGTGGGTATGTTAATATACATGTATGAATATAGGTGGGGTTGTCCATATACATATATGGATATAGATAAGTTCATGCGCAGAGAGTACTCATTCGTACGGGATTGTACATAAACTAGTCTCCACGACAGCCGTTGAAGGAAAGCGCGAGAACTGACTTATACAAATACATGTCACCGCCTATGCACTCATACTCATTTATATTCGTGTACTAACCATACACATGCATACGAGTGTAATAACCATACACATTCATACGCGTGTAATAACCATACACATTCATACGAGTGTAATAACCATACACATTCATACGCGTGTAATAACCATACACATTCATACGAGTGTAATAACCATACACATTCATACGAGTGTACTAGTACACACGTATATAACACGAGTTTCCGCTAAGCGCTTACCTTCAATTGTCCTAAATACTTACTTTCAATTGTCCTAATATTTTCTTTCAATTGTTTTAAAGACATACCTTCAATTGTCCTAAATACTTATTTTCAATTGTCCTAAATACTTACTTTCAATTGTCCTAAATACCTACCCTCAATGGTCCTAAATATAGAATCGGACAGGCTCAGAACAGTCGCCACCATATCATTGAGACACTTGGGGTATCTGTGTAGAGGCAGGTAAGTGTGTTTTTATACGTGAAAAGAAGTACAAATACACACAACAACCTATCTGCTGAAGAGACTGGCTTTTAGGTGTTGGGTTAGTTACGCCCTGGTTTGACGCAAAACGGACCGGTCCAGGTCCAGATCGCGAGGTGCGGTCCGGATGTGAATAGATAACTGAATGGAGACAGTTAACACTTGCATGTGAATTCGATGAAGCATGTGTAGTCATGTGAACATAGTTATATCATCCAGGCGTTTGGGTTTCGGTGTACAGGTGAGTGGGATAGTAGAAGTGAATAGAACTGCAGGTGAACGGGGTTTTAGGGGGTTTTTTGGGCATAAAATAATATGATACTAGTGTACAATAAAATATAAAAGAAAATAATACAATACTAAAGAATAATATAATATAATACTAGAGCATAATACGATATGATTCTAGAGTATAATATAATATCATACTGCATAGTGTAAAATATAATATAATAATATATAATACAATACTAAAGAATGATGTATTATAATACTAGAGAATAATACAAAATGATACTAGAGTAGAATATAATACGATACTACATAGTGTATAATATACTATAATATAACATAATATAATATAATATAATATAATATAATAAAATATAATATAATATAATATAATATAATATTATAGAATACAATACAATACTAAAGAATAAATATATTATAATACTAGAGTATAATACAATATAATACCAGAGTATAATATAACACAATACTGCCGTTGCCTCATCCACTTCCCCGAGGCTGAGCATATAATCCAGCGTTTAATATAAAAACCACCTAACGTTTCTGTTTCCCAGGCACACGCATACAGAAGAATCAAACATTGGTACTATCTCTACTACAAAGTGATCATTAATACTATCCGTACTACTGATGGAACATTGATACTATCACTATCAGTAAGCGATAACTGCTACTATCCCTGATACTGATTGATCATTGGTACTATCTCTAGTTGAATCCTACATATTACATACACCTCTTTAAGTCTACCTACTCTATACACCCCGTGTAATCCCATTGCCACATACTTGTTTATATCCGATCGGTTGAACACTCCCACGAGACAGTCCACGGCATCGTCGAACAATTGTTCGTCTCGCACAGCCATGGCCACCAACGCAATGTGCGGCATCATCTGACTGTATGACAGTGGGTGATCTGTTTTTAGAATCTATAAATAGCACATATCAGCACACGACACATACTGATGAGTATATACATATAGCGGCCAGAAGGGCTGTTCTACCCGCACAAACATTGCTACTAACTCAATATAGATTAATTTCCGAAATATATATATATACATATACATATACATATATAGATAGGTATATATATAGAGATATATATAAATAGATATATATATATATATATATATATATCATATATATATAAATATATAAATATATAAATATATATATATATATAAATATAAATATAAATATATAAATATATATATGTAAATTTCTTTATTTCTTTATAAATGTTTCTGTGTGCGTGTGTATCTGTGCGTGCGAAT